TCGTTGTTGTGAGCATCGCTCCTCTGCCCTCCGCAGTTGTGAGGGTGACTGCCTCCAACTGCCCAGTAGCGTCCTTCACGAGCCTCCTCCACAGAGGCCGATACACCATTGCTACCAGTCAACGGCAAGTCCACTCAACTCCATATCCTCTTGTACCGCAAGAATAAATCTCTTCTCCAACCTGTGTCGTGCCAATTTAGCCCCCTCTATCCGGCTGACCAAAAGCTGTTTGGGCATGCGGTGTCTGGGCATGCAGGCTACGTGCTCGAGCCAATGCAGCCTTGCCTGCCGGAGTAGCTCACCGATGGGACTGTCTAGATTTTCTAAGGATTTGTAAGGTCCTCACACAATCCAGCCTGCTGGTTAAACCCAGGATGGATCATAGACAGGCCAACCTGAATATTTGTAACTAGCACAGATGTTCCATTAGGGGGGGTCCACGTTTCACAAGCGTAGAGAAGACAGTGCATGATTGTGGCCAATAGACCAGGTAGCTTCCACACAGCGTTACGCAGCCGATGATAAAATGTCGCTAAACTGATTCGCAGTGAGACCTGTGCTGTCAAATTGGAGCTGGTCATAAGCACACTGCCCAGGTATGGAAACCTATGTACTCTCTCCACAAATGCCCCATCACCAATGGGGAGTTGAGGCAGTAGAGTATTTAATGACACAAAATACCAATGCAGCAGTTTAGTTTTTGTGCGGCTGATGGTAAGGCTCCATCTCTTAGTAGCACGCTCCAGATTCTGATCGAACAGGAATTACCAGATCATCAGCATTCATAAGATCATTGGAACCTCATTTGCCTGTAAAAATATGATAATTGATTTTTTACCCTTCTATCTGGCAACAAAACTGACACCTTTTTTTTTACAAAAAACATAAAACTGATAATATATGCAGACAGTGCATATATTATCAGAGTTTTGTTTGCATTATGGCTGCAGGTATTGTGGTCTATGCAAACATGACTCCTCGTAAAAAAAGGTGTCAGTTTTGTTGCCAGATAGAAGGGTAAAACACCAATTATCATTCATAACATGTTGGGGAAAGTGCTGTTAGCGAGTATCTATGACGACTGTCACAGAGCAATAGGCGGTGGGTGACCAGCACCACAACTGGTCACCTTTGTTTCCAAAAACGATTGTTTACACAGTGCACCAGGTACCGATTTGAGGCTAAGTTGACTACGAGTGAGAATCAAACTCATGTCGCAGTGGCGCTAACCGCTACACCACCGCTCCCCACGCTGCCACCCATAGAGGTGGAGCGGCAACGTTGAGAGCTGTACGCGATTAGCAGCCTGTATTAACATCCTCGAGTCCACAGTGGGCAGAGGGGAGTCTGATGGTGAGGATTCTAGATTTGAAGCTTTCGTGGTTGCAAGGATTCATATTCTTAGGTTTTTTCGGTGAAGTCACGTTGGTAAAAAAATTTAAATTAATAAAAATAAAACAATAAAATCACGACGTTTCGGAGGCAACACAAGCTTCCGTCTTCAGGTGGAACTGTCACAGCAAAATATCTGTATCAAGACTTCTTGTCTCGTTGTCTGTTAAAGTTCTAACAGATAGGTCTTCCTCAAGAGATGCATTTTGTACCTACGTGACTTTACCGAAAGAACTACGGGGAGTAATTTCACCTATCTGTTAGAACTTTTAACAGACAACGAGACAAGAAGTCTTGATACAGATATTTTGCTGTGACAGTTTCACCTGAAGACGGAATCTTGTGTTGCCTCCGAAACGTCGTGATTTTATTGTTTTTTATTTTATTACTTTTAATTTCATGTTTTACCTACATGGTGACTTTACCGAGAGAACTAAGAGTAGGATTATATTCTTAGGTTTTTTCGGTAAAGTCACCAGGTAGGTAAAAAATTTCAATTAATAAAGTAAAAAAAAAAAATCACGACGTTTCGGAGGCAACACAAGCTTCCGTCTTCAGGTGGAACCGTCACAGCCACGACAGCTGTATCAAGTGAGCACGATAGCTGTATCAAGTGAGAGAAATTCACTTGATACAGCTATCGTGCTGTGACGGTTCCACCTGAAGACGGAAGCTTGTGTTGCCTCCGAAACGTCGTGATTTTTATTTTATTTTGCTTTTATTAATTTTTTACCTACGTGACTTTACCGAAAAAACCTAAGAATATGAGGGTGAGGAGTCAGGCCGTTGGACTGCGGTAACCCTAAGGCAGCTCGGGACCACAGGTCAGAGGTCGCAACCGGGTACCCGATACCCGTACCCTACCGGTACCCGGCTACCTATACCTGGCCGGGTACGGGTAGCCGTTTGCGACCCTGGTGCGGCCGGGTACGGGTAGGCCGTGAGTCACTGGTGAGTCACCGTTTGTCACTCAATTCCCAACGTCTTGTCTCTTCTCACAATTCAAGTTCCTAGAATCAACCCACCCGCGCCTGCAACATGACTTCATCCCAGAGGTCGCAAGCAGGTACCCGATACCGGCCGGGTACGGGTAGGGTACGGGTACGGCCGGGTACGGGTAAGGAATCGAAACCCGTTTGCGACCTCTGCCACAGGTACAAATCTCCAGACCCCCTGGAAAGGTGCTGGGGGATAACGTCACTCCCCAGGCCCTTCCAGACGGTACCAGACGGTTCCAGAAGGGAGGAGGGGCTAGGGGTGGGGTGAGACAGAAACGGTATAAAAGCCGGTCCCCTAAACGGGACCGGCAGTCGTCGTCAAGCAGACGACCCGAAGACCTGCCAGTTTCAAGTTTAGTTTATTAGGTGTAGCTCTGTGAGCCATTCGGCTCTTGAATAGGGTGCAACCGCAACAAACAAAAAACAAAAACATGAACAAGAAAACATCTTAAAGTGAATATGTGCAAACAGAAAATCCAAGAAAAGACAGCAAAATATTGCAGAAAAAGCACCGTACACCAACACTGTGTGCAAAAATCCAAGTGGGATGCAAGTCAAACAACAACAATCACAAGACAACTTAGATTAAGGCCATCAGTCTAACTCTGGACTACAACAAACAAACATGGCCAAACCAAAAAACTTTTCGAAAATAACCAAAATAAAGCCATAAAAGCAATGAAACAGTGGTCATATGAACTGTGACATAATTTTCACAATAAACGACATAAACAACATGTACCACCAAAACCCTGCAGCCATAGGGGTGCTTATCATTGAATAGGACCCTGGGAAACCCCGAACCTGAAGTCCTTGTCAGGGCCATGGACCGAGTGGGCCAGTGGTCGGGACCCAAGAACTTTGGCTGGGTCGGGTCAGGCTCGCCTCCCCTAGGTCCTGCTAGCCGGAGGGCTGATAAATAGAGAGTGGTCCCAGTGATTAGGGCACGTTAGCCGGAGGCTCTACCTCCCCAGGGTATCGGGTGGAAGGAGCCGAGACCCCTTTGCGTCAGGGACCTTGTGTTGCTTTATAAATAAACGTGTTGTCTCCAGAGAAGACTTGGTTTCCATCCTTACCCACGACAGAGGTATACACACGCACCATAACTATCAGCTGAACCGTCCGCATGACGAATCGCATCAGTCACACTTCTGTGTGAATCAAGTCCGATCTGTGGTCCAGGCTTCCAGCCACATACGTCATACATGGAGATTCACACAACGTCGCCAGCTGCATGTGTAGTAACATCGCGGATGTCACTGTGTAATGCCAGCCCTAGAGAGGCACGGCATGCGATGTATTGACATCGCAGGCACCACGTGGATGTGGGTGCAGTACAGGCCCCAGAGGGGCTCGGTGAGCACTGACTGGCAGTGCTGGAGGGCACCACGCTCTGCGTGCAGTGCCGACCCCTACAGGATAGGGTGCGAGAGTGCCGGCCATGGAAATGTGGTTAATTCTAGATTTGAAGCTTTCGTGACTGCAAGGATTCATACTCGTAGTTCGTTCGGTAAAGTCGTCACGTAGGTAAAAAAATGAAATTAAAATTAATAAAAATAAAACAATAAAATCACGACGTTTCGGAGGCAACACAAGTCTCCGTCTTCAGGTGGAACCGTCACAGCCACGACAGCTGTATCAAGTAAATGAGAGATTGCAGGAGCTACCACTCCGTTTATATAATGGTTGGAGAGGGGGGAAGTGCCAAGTACGGCACACTTTTTATTACACACACTCACCGCTCACACTCACCACACACTCAGCACACACATTCACCACACACACTCACCACACACTCACCACTCACATTCACCACACACTTAGCAGACACTCAGCACTCACACTCACCACACACTCAGCACACACTCACCACTCTCACTCACCACTCAGTCTCCGTCATCAGGTGGGACCGTCACAGCCAGATTTGCTGCATCAAGTGAGGCAGGGATTCAAGATGCAAGCTCTTAAATACCAGTTAAGGGGGGGGGGGAGGAGAGGGGGGGAGGAGCTTAGAATGTGGTAGCCAATGAATGGAACGTATCGGGAGGGGGGGGGCGGAGCTAAAAGAGGGGGTTACTAAGGGCCATGGCACTCTGGTTGACCCCGAAGGACACGTGACCGGTAAAGTCTACACAGGGCCCCCAGGTGGGGGCTAGGGGTGGTCACGTGTCAGGGCCGAGATCCTATTCGAGGGTTCTCGAAGGTGGTCGTGGCTAAGGGCGGAGCCAGCCACACCACAGAGGGACCAGTTGCTGTGGTTATCCTGAAGGATCTACGTTCTACGTCCGAGAAGAGTCACCAAAAACGTGGACCTGGACCCAAGCTGGGGTCCTGTCTGTTGTAGCTACTCCCAGTGTAATTAGTGCAGTTAGCCTGGTGGTCCACCACCATTGGTTGTTATCTGGTGGTGAAGGGGCAGTCACCCCTTCGTGTTGGTATCGATAAATGTGTTGCCTCCAGAGAGTACGTCTGCGACTCAGTTGAACTCGGTACACATGCGATGGCGGTAAGTCACTGGCTGCTGTTGCCGCTTCCCCCACATGTCATCCATGCCCACTATATAATAATAAAAACGGGGATATTAGAAGGATTTACTCAAGACTCAGGAGAAAGGGGCGATAAAAGCTTTTATTATCGTTAAGTACCACCACGTTAACGCAAGAAAGTGAAGATACAACACTCGAATTAACCCCCAAAGATACACAACACCATTACTGACTTAGTACTGCTTGGAAGCGAATCATAAAATAATACATTGTTTAAATGCATGCCTATACAGGCCACCCTAGTTCAATAGGGATCACCGTTGGTAGGCTATTTAGAACACACAATCGACAGGAAGTACAAGAACAATGTGCTCGCTTAATGCGCATGCATAATGCACGTTGATTCATTAACCCCTCCCCACGTTTGATCATGAAGAGCGCACAAGTGTTGTAGTCCAAACCACGTCTCTATTTAAGGAAAGAAACAGGTGAAATCCACACAAATCTGGCTGTCGCCTGATGAAGCTAGTTGTAATTACTGGCAAAACGTTGTACTCAGATTCTAAATGTTGTGGCTTTCCAACACTGTGCTGCACTAGTAATGAATTGGCATGTTGTTCTTACGTGACAAACCTTACTAATTGGCTAAGTGGTGGCGGGTTTAACGACATCTATTTAAATTTCGATTTAAAGCTTTCGTGACTGCAAGGATTCATCTTCTTGGTTCTTTCGGTAAAGTCACGTAGAAGGGAAGTAATAAAATAATAAAAATAAAGTCACGTAGAAGGGAAGTAATAATATAATAAAAATAAAAATAATAAAATATAAACATAATAAAAAATTTTATTATGTTTTTTTTTAATTATTTTATTACTTCCCTTCTACGTGACTTTACCGAAAGAACCAAGAAGACATTTATTTAGCTACACGGTCTAACCCAAAAAAACTATATTATGAACAATCATGATACACAACCAGTATATTTGCAAAGCGTGAATCGATTACACAATAATAATAGAGCACAGTAGTGTATGACCAGATCCTGCCTGGTGACACTTCATTTGCTAGCGATAGTCACACCCCAACATTCTCACCCTCACTTTGCCTGGTGAACCATCTCTGAGTAAGAACACCAAATTGCACAATCAGAAGGTTTGTGAAGTAAGATCCCTATTGGGTGATCCCGTCAGCATGAGAGATGTGAATTTTCATCAGGATCAGAAGTTTGTTTCCTGAGCAAAGCCCGTTGAGAAACTGGCTCTTGTTAAATCCTTTATATTAAGTTCGCTTGCTTGCGTGCTTGCGTGCTTGCTTGCTTGCTTACGACCGTGCAAATCTTTCGGTCGTTTTTCGTGAAAATAATTTCCAAAATTTTACACTGATTAGGGAAAAAAATTACATATTTAATTAGCAATTGTTTAATGCTGCCAGACAATCATCTGACCCATAAGTGGCAGCCATCTCAGGCCAGAGGACGAGAGGACTCTAGCCGCCCCGATGCCACGCATATAAAGGATTTATAGTGAAAAACTTTGTTTTTACGGGTTTACTTGTTAGTCTATGGACAATGTCCAGTCTATGGGCGGTATCGGGTCTATGGGCAGTGTTGAGTCTCTATGCGAACCGTGTGCTTTTCTCAAAGATGTCAGCTCTGCCCATGAGATTTACTCAACAACTCTGCATGAGATGCTCTTCCCAGTTGCATCCAGTTTGTTCAAATTAATGACCGGCTTATTGTTGTGTCTAGGATGGTGGTGCTACATTGATCAGATGAGGTCTTGGTGAGAGAATGCTCACTTGGTGAGTCTGGCCTAGGTGTTCTTTTTCTTGGTTCTTTCGGTAAAGTCACGTAGAATGGAAATAATAATATTATGTTTTATAATAATATAACGTTTTATTTTATTATTTTATTATTTCCATTCTACGTGACTTTACCGAAAGAACCGAGAAGATGAATCCCTGCAGTCACGAAAGCAGCTTTAAATCGAAATTTCGGTGTTCTTTGTTTCTGCGGTGATTTGGTCACACGGGGCTCTCGCGAGAGACTAGATTGCGGTCTCGCTGATGAAGCGACGCAGCTTCCAGACGCGAGTGAAGACGTCGGGGTGGGTGGGACAGGAGCCCCAGCTGGAGAGACCCGTCAGGTACCATCGTCCGTCCACGTCTTTGCACATCAGGGGGGTGCCATCGTGACCCTGCATCGATCATGAACAAAAAAAGATGCATATACGCATTTGTATTTAGTTTGTTGTCCTTCACCGGTGCACCTCCAATTAGGATGGTTGGCTACATAATTTGCTAAAGAAGTTGAACATACTTACCTATGTAATATGAGGATATATCCGGCTCACTGACGTATCACAACTTGTCATGGTGATTGGCTCTGCCGGTTCTGGGTTACAGCCAATCGGGGGAAGCCTGGGGGCATGGCCCTGACGTGGTGGAAAGGTGACAGCTGTGGAGATTGGTTCTGCTGGCTTTGGACTCAGCCAATGGGGAGACGAGTCAGGGGCGTGGTCCCGGGAGTTGACGAGGGAGCCTGGAAGTTTCGACGCAGGCTAACGAGGATTGGCGGAAACGTACCACGTGACCCGGGTATTAAATACGGGTGGAGATGAACGACACGTGGTCAGAACGGGAACGAAGAGAGGAAGGGGGCTACGCGGGAGCGGGGCTCCGAGTAGCCACGTGGCAGTGCGTCTCTCTCTCTCTCAATATCTGTCCCTCTCACGCTGCCTATCAGCAGCGTGGAGTAAACAGTAACATAAGTTGAATAAAAGACGGATTCCAGAAGTCGTCTCAACGAGCTTTATTACACCTACAATCGCCATTGGCCACTATTTTTTTTGTTTTACCAGGTTAAGGCACACTGAGCTATACAGCTCTTTTTCAGAAGTGACCTGGCCACAAATGATAGCTCAACGCAGTGGCTTATCATGTGCAGATGTATAGCAGCCACATACTCTAAATGCATGTTCATATTATTAGGTTTTTTCGGGAAAATTAACGTAGGTAAAAAACATTAAAAAGTAAAATAAAATAAAAATCACGACGTTTCGGAGGCAACACAAGCTTCCGTCTTCAGGTGGTACCGTCACAGCCACGACAGCTGTATCAAGTAAATGAGAGATTTCAGGAGCTACCACTCCGTTTATATAATGGTTGGAGAAGGGGGGGGGGGGCAAGGGCCGCATACTTATTATTAATATGGTAAGGTGAGGCTTAAGACTAGGAATAGACTGCATAACAAAGGCTGAGCCTTTGTTATGGAGAGGTGCGGTTTGTGACTTAACCTGTGACAGGGAGACCACCACTAGACATGGTAAAACTGTGATGGTTGTCTGTCAAATAAGATTGGCAAATAAGTGTAGTTAAATCTCCATAACAAAGGCTCAGACTTTGTTATGCAGTCTATTCTTAGTCTCAAGCCTCACCTTACCATATTAATAAAAAGTATGCGGCCCTTGCCCCACCACCTCCAACCATTATATAAACGGAGTGGTAGCTCCTGAAATCTCTCATTTACTTGATACAGCTGTCGTGGCTGTGACGGTACCACCTGAAGACGGAAGCTTGTGTTGCCTCCGAAACGTCGTGATTTTTATTTTATTTTACTTTGTAATGTTTTTACCTACCGAAAAAAAAATAATTGCAATCACGAAAGCTTCAAATCTAGAATCAGATATGAAGGATACTGGATCTAAGCTTGACACAAAGATTGACCAACGGAGAAATAAGAAAAAGGTTGCACATAGAAGAAGACCTGATGATGCAAGCAGTGATGAGAATGAAACTTGCACTATTTATATATATGTAGAATGGACGATAACGGGGAAAATTAAAAGTGTGTTGTTCAGAAAAGCGAAAGGAACCGGACATAAGAAATTTGTACCAGAAAGATGTAATGCTTGCTGATGCTGGATGCAATTACCAGCGAAACGTCGTACAACTCAAATTGTAAATTGTTGTGGTGTGCTTCAACACACCGGTGGGCTAAAGCAGTGAACTATTTTGTCTTTTGTCAACGTGACACTTTTTTACTGATTGGCCGTGTCGGGTGGTGGAGGGTTACGACACATTTATAAATAATAACGCGATCTAACACCCAAAAACGTTGATTATGAATAATATTGGTCGCGAAAGGCTCACACGTGTTCAACTTAAAATGCTTGAGAATGTTGGCAAAAGAAAGTTGAAACTAATGACGAAATGTGTAGTGGACATCTACTACGGGCTTTCCTTGCCCCATGGGTCGAGGTGGTGGTGATGAAGTCCCACGTGGCGTCACACGAGGCCAACATCACGAGTGTTCATCTTCTTGGTTCTTTCGGTAAAGTCATCACGTAGAAGGGAAGTAATAAAATAATAAAAATAAAACGTAATAAAATAATTCTCACGACGTTTCGGCCACAACGCAAGCAGCCGTCCTCAGGTGGCCGAAACGTCGTGAGAATTGTATTTTATTATGTTGTATTTTATTATTTTATTACTTCCCTTCTACGTGATGACTTTACCGAAAGAACCAAGAAGATGAATCCCTGCAGTCACGAAAGCTTTAAATCGAAATTTAACCAGGTAGGGTGTTGTTGATTAATATTTTGCGTTTTCGGGTGATGAAGGAAACATCCGAACGTGTCCAGAGAAAGCCATTTTTGTCTTGGCCACACTGGCCGCTGTGAAATATGAATCCGCATGCAATGAACGTTGGCAGAGAGTATCCGACACAGTTGGAAAGTGTTGGTAAATCAATCACGGAGAAAGGTGCGAGCTCATATGTACACCGACAGAAAATGAGACAAAGTTTAGAGAACATTTATAAGCCAATAAACACATTCACCGCGCATAACAGTAAGTGAACGCGGGTAGAGAGCAGAGGTCGCAAACGGGTTTTGATTCCTTACCCGTACCCGTACCCGGCCGCACCAGGGTCGCGAACGGCTACCCGTACCCGGCCGGGTACGGGTAGCCGTTCCCTACCCGTACCCTACTCGTACCCTACCTGAAATAAGTGACAAACGGTTACTCACCGGTGACTCACGGCCTACCCGTACCCGTACCCGGCCGCACCAGGGTCGCAAACGGGTACCCGTACCGGCCGGTACGGGTACCCGTTCTCTACCCGAAATGAGTGACAAACGGTTACTCACCAGTGACTCACAGCCTACCCGTACCCGTACCCGGCCGCACCAGGGTCGCAAACGGCTACCCGTACCCGTACCCGGCCGGGTACGGGTACCCGTTCCCTACCCGTACCCTACCCGAAATGAGTGACAAACGGTTACTCACCAGTGACTCACGGCCTACCCGTACCTGTACCCGGCCGCACCAGGGTCGCAAACGGCTACGTGTACCCGTACCCGGCCGGGTACGGGTAGCCGGGTATCGGGTAGGGTACGGGTACCCGGTTGGGACCTCTGGTAGAGAGGCATCTCTGGCAGAGGAGAGATGATGGTTGTGGGGCAAAGTGACAACGGATTGGCTACCCAATGGACAAAACACACCCGAGAGAATGTCAAGGGTAGGGATGGGAGAACTAGTAGTGTGTGCGTAGGTAGATGGGTCGTTGTGTCACGAGACCATGAAGGATGACTGCAAGAGATCTTTATTCAGTAGTGGATAGTATTCTTAGGTTTTTTCGGTAAAGTCACGTAGGTAAAACATTAAAATTAATAAAAGTAAAATAAAATACCTCACCTTACCATATGAATAAAAAGTGTGTCGTACTTGGCCCTTCCCCCCCCCTCTCCAACCATTATATAAACGGAGTGGTAGCTCCTGTAATCTCTCATTTACTTGATACGGCTGTCGTGGCTGTGACGGTTCCACCTGAAGACGGAAGCTTGTGTTGCCTCCGAAACGTCGTGATTTTTATTTTATTTTACTTTTATTAATTTTAATGTTTTACCTACGTGACTTTACCGAAAAAACCTAAGAATATGAATCCTTGCAGTCACGAAAGCTTCAAATCTAGAAGTAGTGGATAGCTCATGTTGCTGCTGCTATACGTTGAGCGTCTTTCACACCGTACGTAGCCAAACTTACTAATAGAAGGTTCTGCTGCTGATGATGATACAATCACATAGGCTGGGGCACTTCCACACAAAGCGTGTTAATTTGTCATCACTCACGGAGCACACGTCCTCCCGGGTGCAGATCATCCTGGTGGTCATCGCTCGACCATAGACGGAGCTGGAGTTGCAAACCTTCTGCTCCATGTTATATGCGATCTGAACCCCTGTGGACATAAGCAGAGGACACCCAGAGCCACGTGGCATCATGTAAACATCAAGTATTTCATATCTTCTTGGTTCTTTCGGTAAAGTCACGTAGAAGGGAAGTAATAAAATAATAAAAATAAAACATAATAAAATAATTCTCACGACGTTTCGGCCACAACGCAAGCAGCCGTCCTCAGGTGGAGAACAGGTCTGTCGAGGCGACAGCGTCTTCGTTTGAAGACGTGAGAATTATTTTATTATGTTGAATTTATTTTATTTTATTATTTCCCTTCTACGTGACTTTACCGAAAGAACCAAGAAGATGAATCCCTGCAGTCACGAAAGCTTTAAATCGAAATTTAAGTATTTCTTAGTTCAACACGTGGCAGGCTTTCGCGACCAATATTATTCATAATCAACGTTTTTGGGTTTAGATCGCGTTATTTATAAATGTGTCGTAACCCTCCACCACCCGACACGGCCAATCAGTAAAAAGGTGTCTCTTCTTATTATGAATCCCTGCAGTCACGAAAGCTTTAAATCGAAAAAGTGTCTCGTTGACAAAAGACAAAAATGGTAAATGTTGTGGTTTCACGCTTCAACATACCGGTGGGGGCTAAAGCAGTGAACTAATTTGTCTTTTGTCAACGAGACACTTTTTTGCTGATTGGCCGTGTCGGGTGGTGGAGGGTTACGACACATTTATAAATAACGCGATCTTACCCAAAAACGTTGATTATCAAAGTATTTCTTAAACAACCCATCAGCAGCGCTGCATTCTGGGAGTGCCTAACTTCCACTGCATTATTTCAAGAGGAGCAAACTTAGACTATGGACAATCTTAGTCGATGGACAATGTTAGTCTATGGGTACTTTTAGTGTACGTGCAGTGTCATTGTATGTGTAATATTTGTCTATGGACAATGTAGGCATTTGCACAATGTAAGGCTATGGGCAATGTTATTGTATGGACAATGTAAGTCTATGGAGAATGTAAGTCGTTGGGTAATGTTATTCTTTGGACAATGTAAGGCTACGGACAAAGCCAGTGTATGTGCCATTGTAGAGGAGAGGCGACACGAGGTTGCTGGGGGTTCGTCTTTTTAAAAATCCTTTATATTAAGTTCACTTGCTTGCTTGCTTGCGCGCTTATGACCGTGCAAATCTTTCGGTCGTTTTTTATTTAAATCCTTTATATTAAGTTCACTTGCTTGCTTGCTTGCGCGCTTACGACCGTGCAAATCTTTCGGTCGTTTTTTATTTAAATCCTTTATATTAAGTTCACTTGCTTGCTTGCTTGCGCGCTTACGACCGTGCAAATCTTTCGGTCGTTTTTTAACCCACTTCCCGTGATCCAATCGAGCTGACATTTTGCACACAGACTCGTTGTGCTTGACAATTAATTTTCGTGAAATTTTTTTTCCACAAAATGTTACACTTTTTAGGAAAAAATTAATTATATTTAATTACCAATTGCTTAATGGTGGCAGACAATCATCTGACCCATAGGTGGCAGCCATCTCAAGCCAGAGGACGAGAGGACTCTAGCCGCCACGCATATAAAGGATTTATAGTGAACAATCTTCTTGTTTCTTTCGGTAAAGTCACGTAATGTTTTATTATGTTTTATTTTTATTATTTTATTACTTCCCTTCTACGTGACTTTACCGAAAGAAACAAGAAGATGAATCCCTGCAGTCACGAAAGCTTTAAATCGAAATTTATAGTGAACAACTTTGTTTTTACGGGTTAATTTTTTGCTTTCCTCTTCTCCACACCTGTCCCCAGCCGTCTCAATCTCGTTCCTGCCAACCAACCCCTCTTCACCGCCCGTTCTCTCCCTTATACAGTGAGGGAAAGAGTATTTGATCCCCCTGCTGATTTTGTACGTTTGCCCACTTACAAAGAAATGATCAGTCTATAATTTTAATGGTAGGTTTATTTGAACAGTGAGAGACAGAATAACAACAACAACAAAAAATCCAGAAAAACGCATGTCAAAAATGTTATAAATTGATTTGCATTTTAATGAGGGAAATAAGTATTTGTGAACGGGTGTCTTTTATACAGGTAACAAGCTGAGATTAGGAGCACTCCCTTTAAGAGTGTGCTCCTAATCTCAGCTCGTTACCTGTATAAAAGACACCTGGGAGCCAGAAATCTTTCTGATTGAGAGGGGGTCAAATACTTATTTCCCTCATTAAAATGCAAATCAATTTATAACATTTTTGACATGCGTTTTTCTGGATTTTGTTGTTGTTATTCTGTCTCTCACTGTTCAAATAAACCTACCATTAAAATTATAGACTGATCATTTCTTTGTCAGTGGGCAAACGTACAAAATCAGCAGGGGATCAAATACTTTTTTCCTTCACTGTATCTCCTCCCCCTTCTCCTGTAACCGTCCCACTCCCCCTCCTATTGGTGGGAATCCTTCCCCGGACACCCCTACACTGATGTAGTGACATAAGACGTCACTACTGTGTCGGCCCGTACGAGGGCTGGGGGCCCCAAGAGGGTGCCTGGGGGGTCACGTGGTGGAGGGACCCAGACCTCCCGTGAGGTGGGGGAAGGGAGGCGTGGCCTGGGCAGGGAGGCGTGGCCTGGGCAGGGAGGCGTGGCCTGGGCAGGGAGGCGTGGCCTGGGCGGAGCCGGCCAGATATAAGCGGGGTGTGAACGCAGAGCGAGGCTGTTGTACTCCGAAGTGAAGACGACATCATCGGTCGTCAAGTCCCGAGTCGTCGTCCTGGGCCAGGCAGGCCGTTGCCTGCCTGGTCCAGTCTGTGTCGTGTTCCAGAGTGTTAGTGAGTTGAGGAAGGTGGTCACCACCTCATGTACAGTGTTATGTTACTTACCGTTTAATAAAGTGTTGCCTCCAAGCTGCGTGTGTGTGCACCTAATTCGAACCCACTACACTATGATAGTCGATGGACAATGTTCGTCTATCTCTCTATGTGAGCAGTGTCCCTTCCCAAAGATGTTAGTTCGGTCCATAAGATTTACTCAACAACTCTGCACCAGATGCTCCCCCCCCCTTGCATCCTGTCGTTCACATTGCTGCGCTAAACTTAACTCGTTGTCTTCCCCGGCTTCTTGTTGCACCTGTGACGTTCCCAGTATTCAAAACATTACATTAAGTTTCTTGCTTTCTCACTGTATGTACAGGGAATCTAACCCTGCTTTCTCTCATGATTCGTATGATAAGTCTGCAGTGAGTTATTATTGTGCAGTGATGCAGTAAAATGAAATAGATAAATGTCGATCCTGAGGACGGCTGCTTGCGTTGTGGCCGAAACGTCGTGAGAATTGTATTTTATTATGTTTTATTTTTATTATTTTATTATTTCCCTTCTACGTGACTTTACCGAAAGAACCAAGAAAATAAAATAGATACTCGCTAAGAATATATAGATTTATTTTCTAGATTTGAAGCTTTCGTGACTGCAAAGATTCATATTCTTAGGTTTTTTCGGTAAAGTCACGTAGGTAAAAAATAATAAAATAAAATAATAATAAATGCAAATAAATCAACTAAATCACGACGTTTCGGAGGCTACACAAGTCCCCGTCTTCAGGTGGGACCGTCACAGCCAGATTTACTGTATCACTTGAAACGTCGTGATTTTATTGATTTATTTTCATTTACTATTAATAGATTTTTACTTAGAATAGCCGAATCTGATCTAACCCATGGCGCCTGTACATAACAATAGGCTCTGTCAACCATTCTACACAACAAAGACTCATTTCCTGGCAGCGATTTTAGCCGCACCACCTCTACATAACAATAGGCTCAGTCAACCATTCTACACAACAAAAGACTCATTTCCTGGCAGCGATTTCAGCCGCACCACCTCTACATAACAATAGGCTCAGTCAACCATTCTACACAACAAAGACTCATTTCCTGGCAGCGATTTCAGCCGCACCACCTCTACATAACAAAGGCTCATTCCTAACAGCGTGCTTCAGCCGCACCGAACCTCACAACAATAATATCCAGAGCCTACCTTGGCTCCTCCCACCCTCAACAAGGACTGTTTTCTTGGAATTTCTCTCACTTGATGCAGCTATCGTGCTGTGACGGTTCCACCTGAAGACGGAAGCTTGTGTTGCTTTCGAAACGTCGTGATTTTTTTTATATTTTTATTTTACTTTTATTCATTTAAATGTTTTACCTACGTGACTTTACCGAAAAAACCCAAGAATATGAATCCTTGCAGTCACGAAAGCTTCAAATCTAGAATGTGTTAACCCTTGTTATATGCTTGTACATTTGTGCTCGTCAGTGAGGTGCAGGAGGAGGATGTGGAGCCCAATGACCAGTACCACCGGCATCAAGATCGACCTCTATGAATGCGGCTTGATGAAAAACGCTACTGGGCAGTGCCAGGCTAGGTGCACCTTGGCACTACTTGACACTTGGAGGCGTCTTCTTGGTTCTTTCGGTAAAGTCACGTAGAAGGGAAATAATAAAATAAAACAAATGTAAACATAATAAAATACAATTCTCACGACGTTTCGGCCACAACGCAAGCAGCCGTCCTCAGGTGAAGAACAGGTCTGTCGGAAAGACAGCGGTCTGAATGAACACCACCAGGCTTGGCAGCGTATATTTAAGCTGGGTTAGGGAAGGAAGGGCGCCTTGACAAAGGAAGTTGGAGGTGGTCACCCTTGAGCAATGAGCGGAGAGTCAGGCAACTAAAACGCAGTGATGTGGCACAGAGGGGGGGCACAGCTGGTGGTACTAATGCCCTACTCGTCTCAGCCCATGACACCGTGGGTCTGTCCCCGTGACCATCCTGCAAAAGAGCATTTACACTTCACTTGGAGGCAAGGTGGTGCACCCTATTTAACTATTTGACAATTGTTTTTTTTTATTTTACTAGGTTTAAGGATCCACTGAGCAATATGTAGTTATTTTTTTGAGAAATTACCTGGCTATCAGAAATGTTGAAGCCCAAACAAAGAGGCTTTTCATCTCGTGGAAATGTATAGCAGAAATCAATGACTCTCAATGCACGTTGATTCTAAATGTGTAGGGGAAAACAAGTATAACCCGTAAAAACAAAGTTTTTAACTATAAATCCTTTATATGCGTGGCGGCTAGAGTCCTCTCGTCCTCTGGCTTGAGATGGCTGCCACCTATGGGTCAGATGATTGCATTGCACCATTAAGCAATTGGTAATTAAATATAATATTTTTGTCCTAAAAAGTGTAAAATTTTGGGAAAATTTTTTTTCACGAACGTTAATTGTCACGCACAACGAGTCTGTGTGCAAAATGTCAGCTCGATTGGATCACGGGAAGTGGGTTAAAAAACGACCGAAAGATTTGCACGGTCCTAAGCAAGCAAGCGAACTTAATATAAAGGATTTAAAAACGGAGGACCCGGAGAAAAATCCACGAGACCACAGGGAGACATACACACTTCAAATATGCAGGCAGGTGTCAGGGTCGAACCCACGACCTCCTGTATAACCAGGCGAGATAGTTAACATCTCCTAGCCACCGTGGCACCCTCTGACAACAAGTGCACCGTGGGAAATTCGCAGCCGTTGTTGCCGCCGTTTCCTGTCATCGTCCTATCGAAGGGGTCGAGAACCTTTTTGACTGGGAGAGCCATAAAAGCCAAATATTTCTAAATATGTTTCATTGAGAGCCACATAGTATTTTTAACGTATAGTAAATTAAATGTGTCTTACTTTGAATGCGACTTCTGGTGCTGCGTGGTTTTGCTGATGGCCTTGTAGTCTGGTTCATACGACGTGGTGAGGTTGAGCTTCGTGCAGGCGTGACCCGTGACATTTATCTTCAAAACTAATTTCTGTTTACTTTAAAATGACACACTATTATTAAGCAATATCACAAGTTTCGATTTAAAGCTTTCGTGACTGCAGGGATTCATCTTCTTGGTTATTTCGGTAAAGTTGTGGCCGAAACGTCGTGAGAATTATTTTATTATGTTTTATTTTTATTATTTTATTACTTCCCTTCTACGTGACTTTACCGAAAGAACCAAGAAGATGAATATCACAAGTATTTTAAAATCAGTTCCAAACTGATTTTTTTCTCATTAGTTTTTTCAACTCAAAATTTGTCGGGGAGCCATATGCCGTCACCGGAAGAGCCATATATGACTCGCGAGCCATAGGTTCCCGACCGCCGTTCTATCTACCTGTTGCGTTGTAGAGAAGGCTGCACGCCTTCCCCGGGGCGATGTTAGAGTGGAGCTGCTCGGGCAGGCAGGCGGGCTGCACGCTGCCGCCAGAGAAGTTGAGGGTGGCGCTCAGCTGCACCAGAGCCGCATCGTAGTCCAGCGAGGAGCCGTTGAAGCGTCCGTGCGTCACTAAGCGGCTCACGGAGACGGTGGAGCCGTCTCTCAGCCGCGCTTGCCACAGGCTCACGTTCGGTCTGCGCCAGAGGGCATTGGTAGAAACACGGTCCTTCGGGGTGGGCAGGTAGGAACTTGGTTGGATAACGCATTCGAGGACGACAGACAGACAAATAATCCCTGGTGGGCAGTGTGGAACCTGTTGTTCCTACCTGTGTAGTGACATAAGAAGGGAGGGGCTGCTGTAGGCTCTGGGTTCCCAGGTGGGTCCAGACGCGTAATCCCCTGGGCGCCAGGCGCTGGGTTCCCAGGGGGTCCAGACGCTTAAGCCTCTGGGCGCCGCCAATGGGGGGGGGCTGTGTGTGCTCTGTGGGATGTCTGGTGGCGCACACGGCCCCACCCCTCGTTGGGGACTGGGCATATAAGCGGAGCTCCCTGGACGATCGGGGCCAGTTGTAACTCAAGACCCAAGACCCACGACCAGCCATCTGAAGACCCTGGGATGCTTTGAGAGCCAGCGCTGGGACTCTGGAACTCCCGACGCTACGACCTTGTGAGGGCGAGTCCAGAGCGTAGCCAGAGTAGAGTATCTAGGCTGTGTAGCTAGGCTGTGTACCTAGGCTGTAACAGAGTATCAGGACTGTTGGAGTGTTGTATTGTAATAAAGAAGTTACATCTACAAGTGTCTCCGGAACCCGTTACATTTGGTGTTAGAAGTGGCTATGGAGACAAGAAGTAAGCCACGTACCTTCAGTCCTGACGGCGATGAAGAGGAGCAGGCAGCGATGGGGCAGCCAACGCCGGCCGACAGCGACGCTGCACCGCCGGCCGACAACAACGCCGCACCGCCGGCTGAGCAGCTGTCTGCTCCGCCGACCGTCCCCTCTCCAGCGTCGGGAGCAGAGATGGAGGAGGCGCTGCTTCGCCTCGCAGAGCTGCTCTGCGCCACCGCCTCCCTCCTGGGCGAGCTGCGGTGCTCGCGGCCGATGGCGGGAGGGAGAGAGGAGGCGCGGCGCTCGCCCGAGCCCAACGCCGCCGCCATTCCCCCCTCGGATGTGAGGGACACTTCCGGGTGTGTCGTCACTTCCACCAGAGGAGCAGTGACCGCTGGGAGCGACGTCACTTCCGGGCCCAGCGTGTGCCAACCCGACGACGCCGCGTCATCAGCGCTGCGTCCCTCACCGCCGGGTGACAGCTGTTGGCAACCTAGCACAGCGCGTCATCAGCGCTGCGACCGGACAGTGAGGGCGCCATTCTTACTGTAACCAGCGCCGGGGCCGGCACATGGACCGACTCGCTGCTCGCCGCCTGTGCTGCTCTGGCCAAAGGTTGGAGGTCGGGAGACCAGGCCCCTGACACTTCGTACATTTTACGCGCTCCGGATTAATGATTTTTTTGTTGATATTTTCTTCGTTGTCGTCGGGGAGTCGTGACTGTTGTTGGGTAAACTGTGTGGAGCTTCGCCCGTGAGTGTTGTCAATGTGTGTGCGAAACTTTGCTTGTGATTGTTAACAATGTATGGTTTATATTGAGCTTTGTTCGTGATTGTTAATGTATAGCTTGTGCTGTCATTGTTAACGATGTATATACTGTATGGGGCATTTATCTTCAGATGGTGACATGCTGCCAAGGATTTGGAATTGTCATGCTGGCTCTCAAATATCTTGGGGTGCAGATCCTGACCAGGATGGCCCAGCGGGTGTTGCGTGTCTAACACGAGAGTTGTGGTCCCGTCATGCTATGGCTGACGGCTTGACCTGACAGCCCGGAGATAGAGACACTCCGTGGCATGTCTAGCCTAGTGGGCTGTGTGCTCACATGGCTCGGAGAGTGTGGTCCCGTCATGCTATGGCTGACGGCTTGACCTGACAGCCCGGAGATAGAGACACTCCGTGGCATGTCTAGCCTAGTGGGCTGTGCGCTCACAGGGCTCGGAGAGTGTGGTCCCGTCATGGAATAGCTGACGGCTTGACCTGACGGCCCGGAGATTGAAACACTCCGAGGCGCGTTGAAACAGTGGGCTGGAGATTCGTGGTGTTCAGGTGTAGTTGTCCCGTTACGTTGGGACTGTATCCCTCAGTTGTTAGGGTGCATGTTGTGCAGGGAGTGAACAATGGGTCGTCTCAGATCGGTCGGTACAGCTATATGCTGCGATGCGAGTCTTGGAGAGAGATTGGGTCTCAGATCGGTCGGTACAGCTATATGCTGCGATGCGAGTCTTGGAGAGAGGTTGGGTCTCAGATCGGTCGGTACAGCTATATGCTGCGATGCGAGTCTTGGAGAGAGGTTGGGTCTCAGATCGGTCGGTACAGCTATATGCTGCGATGCGAGTCTTGAAGAGAGGTTGGGTCTCAGATCGGTCGGTACAGCTATATGCTGCGATGCAAGTCTTGGAGAGAGGTTGGGTCTCAGATCGGTCGGTACAGCTATATGCTGCGATGCGAGTCTTGGAGAGAGACTGGGTTGAAGTCCCCCCCGATATGGCCGACGTGCGCGGTTTTAGGATGGAGACGCCACGTTGGAAAGGCGGGGGGTGCAAACGGTTGACATGTAATGTGGGTGGTGGTCCTCATTGAGGGCTGCTGGGACGCAAGCACGGGATGCCTTTTGGAGATGCGGTTCATGCGTGCGGCCACCATTTATGGACAGGAACAGGCAGATTTATTTTGTTTGTGTCATGTAAATTTTATATATATATTTTTAAAATGTAGATACTGGAGCAGCCCTGAAGTGCGACTTCTTTGCCCAGTACATGGGTCGGCCCTGAAGTACGACTTCTCGACCCGGGACGTAGACAGACGTCCGGATAAGTGCGTGTAGAGGGATGCTCGACATGTTGGTCTTCGCCTTCTCTCCACCTGACGGATGGGAGGCTGGCAGGGTGGTGTGGATCCCTGCCATCCATGCGGTGATTGTGTGATTTCGGTTCGATTACCGGTGTTGGTTGTGCATCCAACGCGTCGGAATCTGTATATTTGTTGTTGTTAATTCCCCGTTTTCTATGCGGATCCCGAGGAGGGCTAGGTGGGCCGCGGGTCGTTTGTTCACGTGTCATTGCTTCACCTTTTTGTTGATTGATGCTTGTATATAGTGTAGAGTTGTACAGGTTGGTTATGGTATTTATGGTTGCTTTCTTGTTCTCTTTTCTTTTCCTGTTGAAGCTCGCGTATTTTTTTTTCTTCTCTCTCTCCCTTTCGTTAATTTAAACTTTCTAATTATTGACAGCCGGGACGGCTGGAGGCTACATAGAGGGGGGTAATGTAGTGACATAAGAAGGGAGGGGCTGCTGTAGGCTCTGGGTTCCCAGGTGGGTCCAGACGCGTAATCCCCTGGGCGCCAGGCGCTGGGTTCCCAGGGGGTCCAGACGCTTAAGCCTCTGGGCGCCGCCAACGGGGGGGGCTGTGTGTGCTCTGTGGGATGTCTGGTGGCGCACACGGCCCCACCCCTCGTTGGGGACTGGGCATATAAGCGGAGCTCCCTGGACGATCGGGGCCAGTTGTAACTCAAGACCCAAGACCCACGACCAGCCATCTGAAGACCCTGGGATGCTTTGAGAGCCAGCGCTGGGACTCTGGAACTCCCGACGCTACGACCTTGTGAGGGCGAGTCCAGAGCGTAGCCAGAGTAGAGTATCTAGGCTGTGTAGCTAGGCTGTGTACCTAGGCTGTAACAGAGTATCAGGACTGTTGGAGTGTTGTATTGTAATAAAGAAGTTACATCTACAAGTGTCTCCGGAACCCGTTACACCTGTATAAGTGTAGTGTGTCGTGTATAGTGTAGTGTGGAGGTTAAACGTTGAGTTTTATAAGGGCACCACGGGGTGACCAGCTCCTCCCCACCCAGCCCCACCTCTCCCACCCCCCACCCAGCCCACCCTCCCCACCCAGCCCCTCCCCACCCTCCCATCCCCACCCAGCCCCAACCTCCCCACCCAGCCCCTCCCTCCCCACCCAGCCCCTCCCCACCCTCCCATCCCCACCCAGCCCCACCCTCCCCACCCAGCCCCTCCCTCCCCACCCCAGCCCCCCTCCCCACCCTCCTCCACCCAGCCCCACCCTCCCCACCCAGCCCCACCCCTCCCCACCCAGCCCCTCCCCACCCTCCCATCCCCACCCAGCCCCACCCTCCCCACCCAGCCCCTCCCTCCCCACCCAGCCCCTCCCCACCCTCCCATCCTCACCCAGCCTCACCCTCCCCACCCAGCCCCTCCCTCCCCACCTAGCCCCACCCAGCCCCACCCCTCCCCTCCCCATATGCACGACAGACAGAGAAATAATCCCTGGTGGGCAGTGTGGAACCTGTTGTTCCTACCTGCAATATGCATTGTCATATAATACTTCGTAAATTATTATTTTTTATTGGGGGGGGGTGGGGGGTTAATTTATATGCTTCGTGTTGACCTACAAATGCATTAATTTGTTTTATCTTTTACAAAGAATACATTTGCTTTTTTGGACAAACTGAATCACCTTAAGGCTGGGAATGTTGAAAGAAACTCGAGACAAAAAAATCCGCTTTTTTAAATCCTTTATATTAAGTTCGCTTGCTTGCTTAGGACCGTGCAAATCTTTCGGTCGTTTCTTATCCCACTTACCATGATCCAATCGAGCTGACATTTTGCACACAGACTCGTTGTGCGTGACAATTGTCATATAATATGTTTTGTTCAAAAATTTTACACTGTTTAGGGAAAACAAGTAAATATGTAATTACCAATTGCTTAATGGTGGCAGGCAATCATCTGACCCATAGGTGGCAGCCATCTCAAGCCAGAGGACGAGAGGACTCTAGCCGCCACGCATATAAAGGATTTAGAGTGAAAAACTTTGTTTTTACGGGTTAATTTTTCTTTTCAAGGGTTCCATTTTATGAATGGAGCCACCCTCCCCCAGTTAAATTTTGTGAATGAAACATTGCCCGTCTCTCATTGGCCCGAGTCGCAGCGGTGCCCCCCCCCCCCCCCACTAAACCCCCCCCCTCTACCAACCCCAACCCACTGCTCCCATTGGTCAGCGAAACCCCGCGAGCTCGATTAATTAAATAATTGTATTCAGCGCCCCCGAGCCAATGGGAGGGCTCTGGTGGGGCGGGGCATTAGAATGCACGACAGACAGACAAATAATCCCTGGTGGGCAGTGTGGAACCTCGATTTAAAGCTTTCGTGACTGCAGGGATTCATCTTCTTGGTTCTTTCGGTAAAGTCACGTAGAATGGAAATAATGAAATAAAATAAAAATGTATTGTTATTGTTATTTTTATTATTTCAATTCTACGTGACTTTACCAAAAGAACCAAGAAGAAAAAAGTGTGGAACCTGTTGTTCCTACCTGTAAAACTGCATGGCGTGCATGCGTGCACGTGTGTGTGGGCGGGTGCGTGCGTCTGTGGGCCCATCGCTGCTCACAGAAGCAATCTTTGGTCAGGAGATTAATCTTCTTGGTTCTTTCGGTAAAGTCACGTAGAAGGGAAATAATCAATTATAAAAATAAACCATAAAATTTTATTATTTTATTATTTCCCTTCTACGTGACTTTACCGAAAGAACCAAGAAGATGAATCCCTGCAGTCACGAAAGCTTTAAATCGAAATTTGGTGGGTTGTTGGCTATCAACAACAAGGCAACTCCTATGACTAATTGGGAATGGGACGCAAGCGTAGGATTGATCACCCTGTCGCTGGCCGCCTTTGGGGAGGGTGTATAGTGTGAAAGGCCGAAACACCCTAGGAACCAAAGGGTCACTACTGATGATGCGCTCCCCAAATTTCACCAGGCTCACTGTTCATGAACTCTTGGAAGTGCTTGCACAAAGGATAGTAACATCTCATCCTGTGTTCTTGGAATCAGGAGAATCGCGTAGGAACCGGCTCGAAATACAAACACGACCCCGGGGGGCAAACGGATTGCGAATACGCGAAGTCCTCGCCTTAACGCGCTGGCGGTGTTCGCACTACGACGTGGTTTTCACTGTAAGGCGGCTCTTCCGTCAGAAAAACACTTTTAGGACAACTTGAACGTGCACCGCTATAAGGTAGAACACGTACTTAAACGTGGAATGCGTGCATTGTTATAACACGGAATGCATACTGTTATAACGCGCACCGTTATAACGGAGAATGTGCCCGTTGTCATAATTTGGAATGCGTGCATTGCTTTAATGCGGAATACCATGACCTTTTGACGTGGAATGCGCACGTTGTTTTGACACGGAACTCACACCGTTATAAGACGGAATGTGCACCGCACTGTTTTTGAGTGGTTGATGACGAACTACTTGAGTTGCATGGCTGAGCGGGACAGTGATATAGCAACGTGGAATGCAACAGTAACGTATACGCTCAGTGTTTTGTCCTGGAATTTCACTGTGCGTAATATAAAATGTTTATATTCTTAGGTTTTTTTCGGTAAAGTCACGTAGGTAAAAAATTTAAATTAATAAAAGTAAAATAAAAATAAAATAAAAATCACGACGTTTCGGAGGCAACACAAGATTCCGTCTTCAGGTGGAACCGTCACAGCACGACAGCTGTATCAAGTGAGCACGATAGCTGTATCAAGTGAGAGAAATTCACTTGATACAGCTATCGTGATACAGCTATCGTGCTGTGACGGTTCCACCTGAAGACGGAAGCTTGTGTTGCCTCCGAAACGTCGTGATTTTTATTTTATTTTTATTTTACTTTCATTAATTTTAATTTAATTTTTTTTACCTACGTGACTTTACCGAAAAAACCTAAGAATATGAATCCTTGCAGTCACGAAAGCTTCAAATCTAGAAATAAAATGTTTATTTTTTTATTTTAAACTATTTTTAATTTTACCAGGTAAGGCTTCACTGAGCTATGTAGCTCTTCTTCAGATGCGACCTGGCTATCACAAATGATTGCCTAACGAAGTGGCTTACAAAGTGGACATTTATCATTGCCAAATACTCTAAACGTATGTTTATTCTGAATGTGGAGGAAAAACCGGGTGAAGGACAACAAACTAAACACTAAAAGCAGTTTTAAAAAAACGCGTTGTCAATCTAGATTCTTTAAAAGTGCATAGCTAGCAGTGACTTCCTAATATCAGAAGGAAGAGCGCGTTCCAGGTGGCCGCAGAAGCAGATCCGAAAGCACGTGATGCGGTGACCATCTGTTTGATGGACCAGTCAAAAGCCGCTGTTGCTGCGAGGATGATCGGAATTCGCGTGGGTCGAACAGAGAATTGGCTACAGGACAAATAGACATGGAGACGCCACGCCGTTTACAAATCCGAACACAAAGGCACGTTTTACAATGCGCACGTTAGGGCTGTTTGACGCTGCCTTTGGTGACAGGACAACGCCCGGTCGCCTTTGTCTCCCCAGTGGCGATGTTTTCACACCGCAACAGGTACTTAGATCTTCTTGGTTCTTTCGGTGAAGTCACGTAGAAGGGAAATAATAAAAATATAACATAATAAAATAATTCTCACGACGTTTCGGCCACAACGCAAGCAGCCGTCCTCAGGTGAAGAACAGGTCTGTCGGAAAGACAGTGACTTTACCGAAAGAACCAAGAAGATGAATCCCTGCAGTCACGAAAGCTTTAAATAGAAATTTAATTATTTAATTATGTTTTATTTTTATTATTTGATTATTTCCCTTCTACGTGACTTTACCGAAAGAACCAAGAAGATGAATCCCTGCAGTCACGAAAGCTTTAAATCGAAAGGTACTTAGATTTGAGGCTGAGTCGACCTAAGGGGAAGGACCGGTTTAGATAATCGTTACTAGTGTTGGCCGTGAGCGATAAATTACAAAGACAAGAGAAAAATCCCGCCTTATAGCTTTAACAGACTTCACTAATTGGTTTTTTACCCTTCCATCTGGCAACAAAACTGACACCTTTTTACAAGGAGTCATGTTTGCATAGACCGCAATACCTGCAGTCATAATACAAACAAAAGACATAACTCTGACAATGTGCACTGTCCTTGAAGTTGATTGGTCCACACCCGAGACAGCTTTCCTTAGAGCCTAGTCTCACATGGGTTGGACCAGATGACGCCAAAAGGCGCACTCTAACAGACTTTTGGAGCAAGTGTTGTTAGCGAGCACCTATGAAGACCGGTACAGCGCACGAGAGGGTGGATGGCCAACACAACGCCCGACCGCCTTTGTCTCCCTATAGTAGCGATATTTACACACGACATCAGCTACTCATTTTAGGCCGAGTTGACCTCGGGGAGACCAGTTCAGATATATAATCGTCACCGATGGTGACCGGGAGCAGAAGTCGAACTCGGGTTGCTGGGTACGTAGTGCAGTGCGATAACCGCTACACTACCGCTACACAAAGGAGCAAAGATCCCCCGTATAGCCTTAACATACTGTAGGGGCAAGTGCTGTTAGCGAGCACCACAAAGCAGCTCACACACATACACACGCGCACGCACACGAATACAAACGCGTGTATGTATGTCAGTCTTCTCGTGTCCATACGTACGCGTTGCTGATGCAGTGCGCGCAGGTGAGGAGCCACTGGCTGCTGATCACCGTGGCACTGCACGCGGCCGCCCCGTTGTAGGTGAGGTCCACGAGCCACGGGTTGGGGAAGCCGGACATCGCCTTCCCACAGGCTGCGCGCGGCGGTCACACGGGATCACAAACGGGAACGGCGTTAATTCTTGAGCCAATGGTTGCCCACACTTTCCGAAGTCGATGTCACGACCACACAGATCGGATCGTAGCTCGGTTCTAAAAATTAACCCGTAAAAACAAAGTTTTTCACTCTAAATCCTTTATATGCGTGGCGACTAGAGTCCTCTCGTCCTCTGGCTTGAGATGGCTGCCACCTATGGGTCAGATGATTGCATTGCACCATTAAGCAATTGGTAATTAAATATAATATTTTTGTCCTAGAAAGTGTAAAATTTTGGAAAAAAATGTTCACGAACATTAATTGTCACGCACAACGAGTCTGTGTGGAAAATGTCAGCTCGATTGGATCACGGGAAGTGGGTTAAAAAACGACCGAAAGATTTGCACGGTCGTAAGCGCGCAAGCAAGCAAGCAAGCGAACTTAATATAAAGTATTTAAAAATGCCTCTCTTTCTCGTGCCAATCGATCATCTCTGACGTGGTGACAGCCAGAGATGAGAGGTCGCAACCGGGTACCCGATACCCGTACCCTACCCGATACCCGGCTACCCGTACCCGACCGGGTACGGGTACGGGTAGCCGTTTGCGACCCTGGTGCGGCCGGGTACGGGTACGGGTAGGCCGTGAGTCACTGGTGAGTCACCGTTTGTCACTCATTTCCCAACGTCTCGTCTCTTCTCACAATTCAAGTTCCTAGAATCAACTCACCCGCGCCTGCAACATGGCTTCATCCCAGAGGTCGCAATCGGGTATCCATACCCTACCCGATACCCGGCCGGGTACGGGTAGCCGGGTATCGGGTTGGGTACGGGTATCCGTTTGCGACCCTGGTGCGGCCGGGTACGGGTACGGGTAAGGAATCAAAACCCGTTTGCGACCTCTGCCAGAGATGGACAGAACCGCAGGCAGGTGGCGTTGGTGTCACCAAGACTGCCAGAGTCGAGCAGTGAAGTTCAAAAATCTCGTTTGTCGGGATTAAAAGAACAAGTATAACCCGTAAAAACAAAGTTTTTCACTATAAATCCTTTATATGCGTGGCGGCTAGAGTCCTCTCGTCCTCTGGCTTGAGATGGCTGCCACATATGGGTCAGATGATTGCATGGCACCATTAAGCAATTGGTAATTAAATATAAATTTTTTGTCCTAAAAAGTGTAAAATTTTGGAAAAAATTTTTCACGAACATTCATTGTCACGCACAACGAGTCTGTGTGCAAAATGTCAGCTCGATTGGATCACGGGAAGTGGGTTAAAAAACGACCGAAAGATTTGCACGGTAGTAAGCAAGCACGCAAGCAAGCAAACTTAATATAAAGTATTTAAAAATGCCTCTCTTTCTCGTGCCAATCGATCATCTCTGACGTGATGACAGCCAGAGATCAGAGGTCGCAACCGGGTGCCCGATACCCGTACCCTACCCGATACCCGGCTACCCGTATCCGGCCGGGTACGGGTACCCGTTTGCGACCCTGGTGCGGCCGGGTACGGGTACGGGTAGGCCGTGATTCACTGGGTGAGTCACCGTTTGTCACTCATTTCCCAACGTCTTGTCTCTTCTCACAATTCAAGTTCCTAGAATCAACCCACCCGCGCCTGCAACGTGGCTTCATCCCAGAGGTCGCAATCGGGTACCCGATACCCGTACCCTACTAGTACCCGGCCGGGTACGGGTAGGGTACGGCCGGGTACGGGTACCCGTTTGCGACCCTGGTGCGGCCAGGGAACGGGTACGGGTAAGGAATCAAAACCTGTTTGCGACCTCTGGTGAGAAATCAAGACGAATGGCATCAACGCGGCGACGGAACATGGGTCGTCGTTGATCTCCCAGTCTCCAGAGCAACAGCAACAACACAAAGCCACGCCAACGGCCCCCTGCAGGGCCAAACAATAACTCAATCAAAACATAATAAAATATGTTTTATTTTTATTAGTTTATTATTTCCCTTCTACGTGACTTTACCGAAAGAACCAAGAAGATGAATCCCTGCAGTCACGAAAGCTTTAAATCGAAATTTAATGATTTATTTTTATTATTTTATTATTTCCCTTCTACGTGACTTTACCGAAAGAACCAAGAAGATGAATCCCTGCAGTCACGAAAGCTTTAAATCGAAATTTAATGATTTATTTTTATTAGTTTATTATTTCCCTTCTACGTGACTTTACCGAAAGAACCAAGAAGATGAATCCCTGCAGTCACGAAAGCTTTAAATCGAAATTTAATGATTTATTTTTATTATTTTATTATTTCCCTTCTACGTGACTTTACCGAAAGAACCAAGAAGATGAATCCCTGCAGTCACGAATGCTTTAAATCGAAATTGAAGACTACCATAGTCCTGTGCTTCAGCAGTGGAGTAGGAAGACAACGCGAACTCTCTCCTGAAAGCACTCTCGTGGTGCTGGCAGACCTCGATGTTGGTATTGAGCTGCCGAGACACATTGCTGCCTTATGGGGCCGTCCATAAATGACGTCACGCGATTTTGGACGAATTTTGACCCCCCCCCTCCCTTCGTCACACGGCGTCACAAAAAGTCAGACCCCCCCCCCTCAAATATGACGTCACAAAGCTCTGCCCCCCCCAAAAAAGAAACTAAACATGCTTCAAATCGCTTTAAACTGTTGTCATTGTAGTGCATATTTAACGTGGCGCTGCACTCTGATGTTGTAGGAGAAAACATTTATTAAAAAGTATATTTAATTAAGTAGAACGTATTCTTGGTTCTTTCGGTAAAGTCACGTAGAAGGAAAATAATAAAATAATAAAAATAAAAGATCATAAAATACAATTCTCACGACGTTTCGGCCACATCGCAAGCAGCCGTCCTCAGGTGAAGAACAGGTCTGTCGGAAAGACAGCGTCTGAATGGGTCATTCCGACAGACCTGTTCTTCACCTGAGGACGGCTGCTTGCGTTGTGGCCGAAACGTCGTGAGAATTGTATTTTATGATGTTTTATTTTTATTATTTTATCATTTCCCTTCTACGTGACTTTACCGAAAGAACCAAGAAGATGAATCCCTGCAGTCACGAAAGAAGCTTTAAATCGAGAAGTAGAACGTGTTGTCTATATTTACGTAACGTCGCGCACTTTGATGTGACGTCAACGTTTCTCAATACTCTTAAACGCTTGAGGTCCATTCTAAATGTGGAAATGAAAAACCGGAAGACCCCGAAAAAAAAAATCCATGTGACCACGGCGAGAGAGATAAACACGCAAATTCCAAATATACATCAGGCGTCAGGGTCGGGTTCGAACCAGCAATCTCCTGTTATACCAGCCGAGGTTGATAGCCACCACTGCTGCCTTTCTATTCATCGTTGATTCCTCCTCGTCTGTCGTCTCTGCCTCTCTATTCGAGAGCGAGTGACCCCTGTGAGGTCACGGCGGTGGTGTTACGAGGCGACACACCGCTGTGTCCGAGTTGAGCGATTTCGAAAGGAACGATTTGGTTCGCAAGGTTGATGCGCACTCAAAAGGCTGTGGTGGCTGTGCTTCCGTGTTAACATTACGTGAGGTCGTGTGGGTGAAGGGGGGTCACGATAAGGTTATAGATGTAGGGGTTTATACGCAGGGCGGCAACTGGAATTAATACATTAAAAATTAACCCTTAAAAACAAAGTTTTTCACTATAAATCCTTCATATGCGTGGCATCGGGGCGGCTAGAGTACTCTCGTCCTCTGGCTTGAGATGGCTGCCACCTATGGGTCAGATGATTGTCTGGCAGCATTAAACAATTGGTAATTTTTTTCCCCCCTAAAGTAGTGTAAGATTTTGGAATTTTTTTTTCACGAACATTAATTGTCACGCACAACGAGTCTGTGTGCAAAATGTCAGCTCGATTGGTTCACGGGAAGTGGGTGAAAAAACGACCGAAAGATTTGCACGGTCCTAAGCAAGCAAGCGAACTTAATATAAAGGATTTAAAAATAAATGCTCAGAAAAAGGGGATAGGAAATTGGGGCAAAATCCTCCAAAATGTACAGATTTGGTGGAAAGGAGTGATAGAGGGGAGAGGTTTAACACGCAGCAGGCTTTCGCGACCAATATTATTCATAATCAACGTTTTTGGGTGTTAGATCGCGTTATTTATAAATGTGTCGTAACCCTCCACCACCCGACACGGCCAATCAGTAAAAATTCTCACGTTGACAAAAGACAAAATAGTTCACTGCTTTAGCCCACCGGTGTGTTGAAGAGCGAATTGCCCGATGATGCTGGATGCAATTACCAGCGAAACGTCGTACAACTCAATTTTTTTTCAATGTTGTGGATTCACTCTTCAACACACTGGTGGGCTAAAGTAGTGAACTATTCGTCTTTTGTCAACGTGACACTTTTTTTTGCTGATTGGCCGTGTCGGGTGGTGGAGGGTTACGACACATTTATAAATAACGCCATCTAACCCCAAAAACCTTTTATTATGAATTATTATGAGAGGGGAGAGGGTTGATAAAGGAGGTTGTTGGACGACAGCTCAGGAGTCCAGGGAAAAAAGTCTGAAATCAACCAACGGTGTCTGGGGTCCTGGTAAGTCTCCCACTGCCCTGCCCTCCCTTCCCTCCCATACGAGCAGCAGGGTTGACATGCACACACTCGATGGATATGAAGACTTCTCTAGGGTAGATTCCATAGTAATAGGTTGTTACCCTTTCAACTGGTACAAAAACTGACACCTTTAGACAAGGCATCATGTTTGCAATAACCACAACACAAGCAGTCAAATTGCAAACAAAAAGAAACAACTCTGATGATGATAATGATATGCACTGTCCTTGAAGTTGTACCAGTTGAAAGGGTAAAAACCTACCACTATATTTTGCCACTGGTAAAGGAGGTCTCATAGTGTAAATGCTTACCCCGAGCTCTCAATACTCTGATAGTGCGCTGTCTTTGAGTTGTACGCCTTTTGGCGTCATCTGGTCCAACACCAATGGAGACTAGGCTCTAAGAAAAGCTGTCTCGGGTGTGGGCCAA